AATGTATAATGTGTTTAGTTTTAGTCAACACGAGACGTGAAACTGTAAAGCTGGGTAACCGGATGTTGTTGATGCTGGTGGTTAGCCTGACGGTACCGGGGCAGCTGAGCACCGAACAGAGAAACAACCTCCGGACCTCGGTGCTCCGTCTCTCAGCTTGAATAACACAAACTAATAATGTCCGGCGTCCCGGCGCTTCCTTCTCCGAGGTGACCGAGGTGAGAGCAGCAGCAGCCGGGATGGCGCTGGTCACTGTGCAGCGGTCACCGACACCGAGCACCACCTCCAGCCCCTGCGTGTCCGTAAGTGTTTCCGAGAACCGGTCTGACATTGTTTGTGTTTTCGGCTCAGCCCCGCCGGTGTGTGGACGTCAGCCCGGTTCCAGGGCTCAGGTACCCGGGGCGGCTAACGCTGCTGCTAGCATCACACCGCCCCCTGAATGTTCCCTCTCCCCGTGTCTGCTCTCACTTAATCAGCTTCGTGGAAAGTTGAAGTTACCCCCAAACTTAGCTAGGTAATGCTAACAGCTGTAGTTCATGTCTGCTAACTCACTTCCTCCCTGGAAACCTGGACTGACTTTAACTTTTGTCCAAAACCTTAAAACCCCTTTTTGAATATTCAGTGAAAGCCTTGAATGTGTGTGTCAATGGTTTAGTCGTGTTAGCGTCTCAACACAAAAGGACTCCCATCACTGGACACAGTGGAGTGACAGTGGAGGCAGTGGAAAGCAGGTTAGTGTGACAGGCCTGTCAGGGCCTGGAGGACGCAGTGGGACACTCCTCTTATCCCCCATGACACTTTGAGGCTTCCCATGTCTGCTCTCAGGCTCCTGGCACACACTCAGACTGGGCCGAGTGGTGGTGGTGTGGCTGCCACAGATAAGGCCCGTGCTGTGAGGATGATGCTTTCACCCATGAGTGGAGGATAGAAGACACTTCTTATGGCGTGAGATTGTGACAGGATCAGTCCTCAGTGTCCTTCTGCAGGACACTGTTTCTAGGTATCGAGGCCCAGCCTGATGGAGGGACGATCGACAAATGTCCAAATTAATACAATCTGTGAGAGCAGTGAGGGAAAGACCTGAAGAGAAGAACATGAATGAAGTCATTTACATGAAACAGCTGTATAGTTCAGAGCTTTTATGTGATTCTGGCTTTTTGGTGAACACATCTCGATTAAAATCGTAACAGCACACGCAAGGTTCGATTAAAGATGAAGTCATGACTCTGAGACGCAGCGATGAGGGTTGCAGCTTTGAGGCGGTGTTTGGATCCCATGCTGAGGTAACCAGCTGCTTGTCACGAGACCCGAGATCCTGATGGGAAGCAGCCATGTGAGCCGCTCTCGTGAGAGGTGTCTCGCTGAGCGAGAGGAGGGGGGGCAGAAAACTGGGAGAGGGACAGAGAGACGAGCAGTGTGTTGTGGAGGACAGACTCATGAGAGGCACAGCTGGAATACAATAGCTTCTTGAGAATATCTGTGACAGACATTCTTTTTCCAGTATGCTCCCCACCCCCACCCCAAGCATTTTATCAGCACTTTTCGCAAATTAAACACAGATTATTGACTCATTGATTAGTGCAGCTAGCATCATTTGCCCTCCAGCGCAGCGGGGAGTGGGACACCCTACCGTGATGCTGTACAGTAATCTGCCTAGCAGCACACCAGATCCCCTGTTCTCATTGGCTTCAAGGCCACTCCCTACACATCCATGTGGTGGCATGGTAACCATGAAGATCAGCCTGTGCATTGTACCCTGACCATAGGCAGGCATATTATGCTATGTTGTTCACATATTGGAAGTATAATGCACATCACATCAGCAGCAGTGTGTGTGAGTGGTCTGCAGAGATGTAATAGTATCACACACGCGCCTATAAAATCTGCTGAGCAGGGCATTTTTTCTGGTGTGTGTGTGGTTGTGTGTGCAGGGAAGGTATGAGTCTGCATCGACTCCTATTTCTTCTGTGTCACCACATTTTGTGTTGACGGCCAGCTGTTGGGCCGATGATGTAGAGAGCGTCTTCGAGCGAGCTGCCTCTCTGAGCCTAATCACATCTGTGGTGATAGTCTCAGGAGGAGATGCACTCTATCCCTCCTCCTGCCCCTCCTCCCCCTCAAGCCTCCTCCTGACCCACTGCATCCAGCCCGCACCCTAATCTTCCTCATCTACCATCATCTTTAATCAGCATCAGGATATTAATTGTTGTTTATTATAATTAGTCATGTGTGCATGTACATGTGGGTCTTTACATACAGTGGTATGTCAATGGTTTTGACTGTGTGTGTGTGTGTGTGTGTGTGTGTGTGTGTGTGTGTGTGTGTGTGTGTATTGGCCAGGCTTGACAGATTGATGCCAAAGAGAAAGTTCCCAGAGTTTTGCGAGGGATTAGCGAAACAGGCCGGGATTAAAAATGTCTGTGGTGGACTGTGCTGGTTGCAGTAGTGGGGGGGGGGGGGGGGGGGGGGGGGGGGGCGATGATTGCATTTTGGGAGGAAAAAAGGGAGTCAGGTCGGGGAGGGCACGGACACGCAGTCTATTTCAGCCTTATCTCCAGTCACTGCTCTGAGCCTCAGTGAAAACACTGTGCCGGCCCTGCTTTGTGACTGAAGTCACAGATGAAAGTGTAGCTGCCAATGCAGCTCTCCTGTAATGCAAGGTTAATTGACTCTGACTCAGCATGTGAGGCAAACAGCCTGTGGGCCACCCAAGTATCTGTGGTCAGCGTGGTCAGTGTGTTCTGCCTGAAATGCTAGTTGCTGATGTGAAGTGACGCAGGTTTGGAATAATAATTTCCATTTTTCTTCTAATCCTGTCTCTGTAGGAATCGGGCAGTGGTGAGGATGATCGCCGCTCTCAGCCCAGGAGGTGAGACCACTTCCTGTTTTGTCAGAGTTCCAGTTTCCTGGAATATCTGTTCTTTAACAGACACTCAGTAGCATCTCTTGAAACTGTAGGTTTAGAGTCAGGCCACTAGGGGGAGGCTGTACATCACATTTACAGTGTTTTCTCAATTACTAACTACATTAATGTTCATAAAACATTACGGAGCAGCAAAACAGTCAAATTGATCTGCAAAAAATCAATTCATGTGTCATAATGTCAAAAATGTAAATGAAAATAAAAATGTGCTTAAAACACAAGTGTAACAAGTAAAAGGGATCATGTCTGATCCCGGCATCATCCATAAATAACTAAATAAATGTGATTGTCAGTTTGTGTGAAGAGAAGCAGAGATGAGCAGACACACACACACACACACACACACACACAGACCAGTTCTACATGTGAGTGATTAGAAAAGAGCAGAGGAGCAGATTCACACCGAAAAAACAAACACAAACCACAGATTAAAGTGCCTGAATGCAGTGATCAAGATGTCTGCAAGCTGTTACAGATTAAACTACACAACAGTACCACACAAATACAACTGAAATGATCAGTTGCTTTGCATACAAATAATGTGTATTTTGAACTTTTGTGTATATAGACCTATTGTAGAAGAAAAGATATCACTATGTAAAGGGCCAAAATATTGGTGTTTAGTTTTCTCCCAATACCTTTTTTTTTTTTTTTACTGTTACCCACGTTTTTACAGTGGTATTGTTACTTTTATTTAAGTAAAGGATCTCAATGATAATTTATSCCATACTTAATTTAATAAGTATATCACCGATTAATGTAAAATCGAAACTTTTTAATGTAAAATCTAAACTAATTTATACACATAAGCTTTTGAGGATTGTGCCAATGTAACCTGGGTAGTTGTAAACACTGACATCACAGTTGTTATTGATTTGCATGATTCTTGTACTTGAGTGAATGATTAACTTTTGATGTGTGAGAAAACCGTCATAAAAGACAAGGACATCACTGCTGTTCCTTTTGTTTTGATGACTCAGGTGGCTTTGTTATTGTGCTGGGCTGGATACTGAGCCAAAGAATTGAAACACATGTTTGTGTGGGCGTGTGTTTGACTTTATGCCGATAACCAGTTATATTGGGCCTCTCAGAGTCTATATCACTTTAGATATTATTAAATGTTATTCCAAAGTCCGTCCGTGGGGACATCAAACAATCATTAAATAGGGAGTGGAACATCAAACCCAAACAGTCTTTCTTTATCTTTACTGCACTTTGTAAAGGAGCTTTATCATCAATCGAAATTTTAAAGTGCGATCTTAATGGTTGGGCTTTGTTGTTTGTTTTTTTGTGTCAAGCTATTAATGTCTGTTATGAATAATGACTCATATTTCAATGTTACCATTTGTTACTGGTGGAGTTGTATTATGTAATAAGACACTTCCTGTGAGGCTACTGGTCTGAGTGATGCTGCTGTTCTGTCAGGAGCATAGACTTTATAAAGATAGACGACATGACTGCTCCCCTTAAGTGAAGCCAAAGTGTCTCGATCGCTACCTGTACACACTAAATATTTCTTTCCCAAATATATCATTTTTGTAGTTCTTAACAGACTGATGTATGTCCAAGTGATTATTTTTCAAACACAAGTTAGTTATTAGATGATATAAAATAGAGTGAAACGTCACGATTGACAACTGAAACAGACTCGGGATTGGTCAAGCCAGTGTATCAGCAGGACCTCAGTACGTCCCTGACTTTGGATAGCCGGAGGTCTAAGGTCAAGAGTCAGTAGACATCAGATACAGGGTAAAACTGAATGCTTGATCCATAAAATATGTCTCAGAAACTCTGTAAATCAAATTTAAATTATGAGAATGACATACAGTATATGTCAACCTGAATCCAGACTCTTAAGGGTCGGAATATACTTGCTGTTGCATATGTCCGTTTGCAGCATAGGTTGTACACGTCCTCTGAAATAAACCTGATCCGAGATTCAAGAGATCTGAGAAATCTCATTGTGCATAATTTCACAAAAACAACTATGCAACAAAATATTTGCTTTAAGCAGTGATTTACTTCGCAGATAATAAGGTGCAAATGTCACTCAAACATATATGTCAACAATCTATAGAGACATATACTACAAAAAGGAATTGTGGTTGTCAAGGTTACCTAAGGTTTTTCAGTCCTACATAGTTGGTTCACTTCATACCAGGTAAATCACCATGGTAACCTATGCTGAACTGCTAATCTGCTTCAGGGCAGGTTAAATTCCAGATAACAGATCAAAACCTGTCAACGGCCAAACTGCTGATCGATCAGATCCCTTGAATGTTCTATCGACAGGATCCGGACAGGGACAGAAGAGTTGAGGCTACAGTTAAGTGAGAAATAATTAAAAACGTAGCCTCTAACAAACAGAGAGTTTATCACAATAAATAAATACATTGTAACTCTTATATCTTTATATTAATACAGTAAAGATTATTTGATTCCAGACACATTAGTTGACAGTGCTGATGCTTTCACTGTTCTATTCTCTCAGTGAAAAAAAAACTTAAGCCTCTGATGTCTTTTATTATAAAATGATTCACACACTGTTCTATATTTTTCATGATTATAATGAACGTTCCAGTACGACTGAGCTCGTTAAAAATAAGTTATACTTCTCTCCTCTCTGCTTTGGCAGTACAAACAGTCTGACATCACTTGAACTTTTTTTAAATCTACATCATATGTTCATAATAGTTTGTTCATCTTCAGACAAATAATTTTCTGAAATTATTTGTCCCTTTTCTCTTTCACTTATTAAGTAGTCTCCTCTTAGTTATAACCTTAATAAATAATTTCTGTTTATTACATTTTATCTTAAGCTTTAAAAAAGTAAAATCTACTGTTTCTATTCTTTGCTAGTTATGTGATAATCATTCACACTTCACTTTTGGACGTGGCTATTACCGACTCCACTGGCAGATATCAGCATTTCTTCTCATGTCACATGAAGAACTTGTCGCTCATATTTAACAACTCCGCTACTGTCACACGAATGTGCTCGTAGCTACTACGCTATTTGATATTTTAAGAGACAGACATGTAGTCTATGGATGTTACATGTTTTTTTTATTCACTGCAACAGAATACAGACCAACAGGTTTCAATTCATGACCTCATTGATGACGGTAATAACCCATACAAACAATGTTGTAAAAATGTCAGTGTATGATTGGTCCAAGATGAATCAGCTGCCTCATGTTGAGCATCTATACTGCATGAAACTTGGAACATGCCAGAGGAGATTTGGGGCCGTGTCAGACATATTTGATCACTGGTGACATCACTCCTAAAAGCCTTTAACACACCCCAATTGAGCTGAGATGGACATGTGGTACCAGTTATCTGTTAGGTAATACTGCAAAGCACACACACACTTACATACAGAGCTTATTCCCTATATGCCTAACGTCATTACAATCCTGTTTTACCATTTGGCTCAGTTACCTCAACATTTGCTCAGCATTAGCACTAACACACACACACACACACACACACACACACACACACACACACACACACACACACACACACATACAGAGTGCAGCAAGGGCCCTGCTGAGTGACCTCTAATGTGTGTTACATAAGAGCTGGGATCCACTTGTGTCCTTCCCACCCTACATATGGATTCAAGTAGCAGTGGAGCAATATAATCAAATGCTTTCACTCGGTCTTTATTTCCCTTGCTTTTTATTTGTCCCTTTCTCTTTCACTTATTAAGTAGTCTCCTCACCGATTCACACCCTGTATCGCTCCCTTACTCATTGTCTTTCTTTGGCAACATCTCTTTCACACAGATACACACAAACAGCCCACTGTCGCAGCTGCACCGAACCAATTGCGTATAATGTTACACGCCGCTGCCTCAGGACCGACACTGTCAAGGGCAGTTTTAGAAAAACATTTTCCCTAGCCAGAGTTATAAAACCAACATTTTTATGGTTTTGTTGTAAACCTTTGAAATGGTTGAAAAAAAATGGTCAAAGTGACAGATGAGTTTTGTTCTGCTGTGGGGTTTTTTCAGCAAAGAGTTGAGTCCTACCTCACTTGTGTCTGCAGGGCGATCAGGTGACATGACATAGCTGTCAAAGGTCGAAAAGGTCACTGGATTGAAACAAACTCTTTATGTGGTGAAATTATTTTTTTAAATCTGTAACTTCACCATGAGTAGTCAGTGCACCAGAATATCTTCAGTGTGTTGGATGCTGTGAAAGGGCAAAGACGAGGCCTAAAGAGGAACATGAATAAGAAATAAATTGATGGAACAAGAGGAGAATAAAAAATTTATAACAAAGAGAACTTTCTGTGAGAAAGCAAGGCTAACATGTCGGCTATGAGCTTTCTAAACTCTCAGTATTCAAAGGTGATCATGCTACAAAACACTGACTATATTAACATGGACACCAATGATCTAAACCTTATTCTATAAGATACAATTATGATGTTTACATGAGTTGCTAATTGAATATTACATTCATTCTCTTGTTGTATATGTCAGCGTAGTGCCATTGTGACATCAAGCACATATGTTTGTTGTTGATTGAGACATCTACATCTAATTAATGTAGCCTCAATTCATTCTTTCTTATTTCATGTAAAGGTTTTTTGGGTTAAGGTCATCTTTTTACATGGCAGTGTCATATTCAGACAGTCACTGTGTTAGTGGTTTTCAATGTGTTTGGTTTGTATTTTATTCATCGGCCTGTATCGTGTATTGTAACTACTGAAGTCCAACTAGGGGATGGAAGAGAAAATGATCTTTCAACGAGTGTCAGTTAAATCTTCCCTGTACAGCACTTCATTTTACATAACACAAGACAGATCTTGGTATTGTTTGAAAAATAAGTAATGCAAGTAATTAGATTTTCTTCATATTATTTTAATAGTTTGAAGAATTTACTTGCGTGACAAGAGGCACTACTGAAAATGTGCATCTGTGTGAGACGATG